GCATCACTGATTCTAATAGCCCCTTTTTGGCCTCGCAGACCTTGGTTTCCGCTCCTACTAAGTCTGTGCAAGAAGGATCCATGGCGCCTTCCAGTGGTCCCATTCCTGTTACATCAGGGTCCAATTCACCATCCAAACCCAGCATCCCTTCGTCTGATGGCATGGTACTTGAAAGGGATGGGTTAAAGAACAAGGGATTTTCGAGATCAGTTATCGAGACACTTCTTCAAGCAAGGAAGAAGTCTACTTCATCCACTTACTACAGAATATGGGATGTATTTTCTTCATGGGCCAGTTCAAGGCCCTTTGATATGTTGAACCCTTCAACTACTGACATTCTTGATTTTTTACAATCAGGTCTAGAGAAGGGATTGAGTTAAAACACTCTAAAAGTGCATGTTTCTGCCCTCTCTGCTTTAACTAATCATAGATGGGCACTGGATCCGGACATAGCTAGATTTCTGACTGCAGTCCTCAAGATCAAGCCACCCATTAAGTCTATTACTCCGCCATGGGATCTCCCTCTGGTCCTGAAGGCTCTTAAAGCAGATCCTTTTGAACCTATGACATCAATTTCCTGTCATCTTCTCACGATCAAGACAGTTCTACTAGTAGCCCTAGCCTCTGGTAGAAGGGTTTCTGATCTCCAGGCTCTTTCAGCTCGAGAACCTTTTATGATATTTCATAAGGACAGAGTCATCCTGAGAACGGTTCCAGAATTCCGCCCAAAGGTGACTTCAGAGTTCCATATGAATGAAGAGATAATCCTTCCAGCATTAAGTACAGAAGAATCTAATAACAGGGAAAACGCTGATGATGATGCTATCGACCTAGTAAGATGCCTTAAGATATATATACAGAGATCCTCAGAATGGCGCATTTCGGAAAGGCTCTTTGTTATTCCTAATGGCCCTAGGAAGGGTCTGCAAGCTTCGAAAGCCACTATCAGCAGATGGATAGTTTCGGCCATTATCCAATCTTATAGGTCATCTAAAACTAGTGTTCCTGAAGGTTTGAAGGCTCACTCTACAACGTTCCCTTTCTTCATCCTGGGCAGCTGCAGCAAAGGTTTCTACAGAACTGATTTGCAAAGCAGCCACTTGGTCATCTTCTAATACATTTATTAGACATTATCGTTTAGATGTAAGAGCTGGCCAATACGATGGATTTGGCAGATCAGTTCTTTCTGCCTCATAGGACTAACTACTATTCTTTTTGTTTATCACATTGAGTTGTTGGTGATAATACACTTGCATTATATAATAATGTGTCTGAGTTTTTCTTTCCCTCCCTTGGTTTTAGCTTGGGTATTACCCATTGTTGTGCTGCCATGGATATGGCCAGGAAAGAGATAAATTTACTCATACTTACCGTAATTTTCTTTTCCTGGTCATAGGCCATGGCAGCACAAAGGTCCCACCCAGGGATATTGCTGTTAACTAGACTGAGGGAGGAGGAGGTAGGAGGGGGTATTTGTACCCTTATTTTAATTGGTTCCTGTCTAACTAGGGATAGGGGAGGAGCTACCCATTGTTGTGCTGCCATGGCCTATGACCAGGAAAAGAAAATTACGGTAAGTATGAGTAAATTTATCTCTATATTCATTCATAATGCTTTTTTTTCCCTTTCAAATTATTAATTAAATGCACTTTAGTTCATTTAGGACTATTTAATTTGTTTCCCCATGTTAAAATTGGGCTAGAACCCATTGATATTGGGGTACTGTGGCATAGTGGTGGGTTTAACACAAGATGGCCATATAGTGGAAATGAATCCCCATGTGTGTTTGCTGAGATAGGCGATTTTAAGTAGCCTTGTAAAATTTTAAAATGCATTTTTGTGTGTGCTCCGTTCCTTAATCTGTATTTTGTATGAATTTTGGCCTCTACAGCAGCACCACTGCTGAGAAATACATGTTCCGGGTGTGCCCCAAATTCAGTTTACTTTTTCTTCCCCCTATGCATGCAATGTGCGAGTCTGTGCTGGCTCTATAATGTAGATGTGGCCTCCACTTTATAGGATTTAGCCAGGGTCCTAGAGGTCCAGTGCTGGGTCTCTGGTGAAAGGTGCACACCTTAGTAATCACTGTTCCACATTTTGGCAATTAGAGAGTCATAATACATGCTGGGAATTGCAGCAGCTGTGCTCTGAGTCACTAGAGTGTGCCGTAACCGCGATGGAGCCTTAACAAGATGTGCGCCTGCTGGAGCTGCAGACCTCACACTTCCACAGACCTGTCCTCCCAATGCAAGCTGATTGCCCGCAGCAAGGTTAAAGGTCAACAAAATTTTTTTATTCCTGGAAGGTGCCCAGGAACTACATATGGTTGGGCAATACGAATTAGTGTAACTGAGCCTGCAAGAATAGCGTAAGCCTCCTTTCTCCATCTTAGGAGATTTTTCATTAATTTGTCTATTTGCCCAATACCCACTAACTCACCACCCCCCAATTCTCACTTCAACCCACAGAGAACCCCACACCCAATCCAAAAATGTAAATAAAACCACCTATCGCAGATTAAACAGCTGCAACCAGCATTAAAAGTTATTTTAATAGAACAAATAATGCCCTCTGATCACACATACAGTACCATACATTGATTAGACAGCAGAAGCTGACAAGATGGGTACTAATCATCCTGATCACAGGGTTAATATTGTGATCAGCACTGAAAGATAATTTTTTCACCACATTTTTTAAGTTTTTTTTTTAGCAGTAATGGGCACTGTAAAAGTGATCTCTCTGCGATTAACAAAGAAAGAGAGGGGCAGAGAGCAATTAATTGGCTGAGACACTGTAAAAGTGATCACGGTGACAGGATATCACCACGATCATGTGACTCCGACCCATGGCATTGGCTGCAGGGGGACTGCGTGGGGACTAGTATGACTTAACAGCGCAATGGGCTTAATTTACATGCATCAAAGCTTTTACAGGACACACATTTTAATTTTCCTCTTTGGGGTGTATTTTCCTCTCATAATAAATTTCAGAAATCCATTTTAATTTATTGCAATTACCAAAAAAAAAAACAAAAAAAAAACAAAAAAAAACAAAACAAAACAAACAAATTTCTACAACATGAACATATATATATGAAGTTTATTTTACCTTGGCAAGCATGGGAGGGGTAACGTAACATCAGATGGGTCACCTAAAAACAAAAATAAACCATATTTAATTTATTACATTTAGAGAATTTCTTGCTCCCCCCAATATAATTTTTATTACGGACCAGTGGAATTCTCTTCACCCGTCAGTAATTAATATTTATTTAATTTTTTTTTTTAAATTTGACAATTTTTATTTTGTTCAACATAGTGTTCAATGAGAACTGGGTAATGGGGGGGGGATACAGAAGAAAGAAGAAGGGGTAATTGAGCAACCCTGGTGTATTTTTTTTTTTTTTAAGGAAAATAAATTAAAGGACCACTATAGTGCCAGGAAAACAAACTTGTTTTCCTGGCACTATAGTGTTAATAGGTCCCCCCCACCCGCATGGCCCCTCTCCCGCCGGGCTCTAGGGGAAGGAAGGGGTGAAAGGCTTACCTTTCTCGTTAGCGCCGGGCTCCCTTAGCGCTGTGGACTCCATAGGAAAGCATTACTCAATGCTTTCCTATGGACACTGGCGTCTTCTCACTGTGAAAATCACAGCGAGAAGCGCCTCTAGCGGCTGTCAATGAGACAGCCACTAGAAACTGGATTAACCCTAATGTAAACATAGCAGTTTCTTTGAACCTGCTATGTTTACAGCAGGCAGGGTTACCCCTTGATTAACCTGGCACCCAGACCACTTCATTAAGATGAAGTGGTCTGGGTGCCTATAGTGGTCCTTTAAAGCAAAACTATTTTAATAGAGAGAGATTTAGAGATATATTTTTTCTGAAAATCTCTTTATGGCAGTGTTGGTAATTTTTTGTCTCATATAATTACAACACTTTGGCAAAACAACATTTACCAACATACAAAGTCTTGTGCAATGAGCAATAGAGGCCTAAGGCTGCACATGTGCATTGGGTCTCCAAAGCTCCTCTATGAGGAGAACTGGATTGGACCATTGCTGGAGTAAGCCATGCCTATTTGATAAAGTGATGTGAAGCAGTGAACAGCAGAGAGATTGTTCTAGGAAAAGGTAAACAAACTTTTTTTAATAGGCATACAGGAGTGGGATGAAGACAACTAGGGACAGTGTCACTATACCATTGGGAATACAGGTATGCATTCCTAATCCTATTGTATTCCTTCAAGAAAAACAGGGTATGATGCTGAATTGAAAACAAAATTTAAGCTAAAATGGTTGCATTATAAAAAAGTGTAAATTCACAGCTTGGCTATTTAAGTCTAAATTCATACAAATCAGTCTACCACAATTCACTGATTTAGTGCTATTTACCAGGTAAGTGATATACTGTAAAGTGCTGCCAACAAGACTACAGACTAAAGTGTGACTTGACAGGATATCATCTCCATGTCCACAAACCTGTATAAAACATGATATATTTATTAGACCATGTATGTCCATAAATTATAACCCCAGCTCACATAGAACAACTCACAGCTGTCAAAGCATCATGAGAGTTGTAGGAATCCGGGTACCTTTGTATCAGCCCATTCTCATTCAGGGATAGTCACAAAAGTGGGATCTCAAAGTGTTACGTTAGTAAATAGCCCTGTTAGACAGTATGCTCAGACAGTAAGGAGCCTGGAAGGCTGAGGTGCTATGTATGAGTGAGTCGTAATATTACGATACCGGGTAGTGCTGTGTAATAAGCATAGGCCAACATGGCGAATAAATAATACCCTTGGTCCCTGGTGCCATCCTCTCGGTCCCTCTTTGTCCGCTTGGAGTCGTATAAACGTCAGTCGGGTCACCAGTCCCCTACACCGTTCACCTCTAGAAAAATGGCGGAACTTCAAATTTGGCGCTTGAAGCGGAAACAGCTCCCTGACGCAAAACCCGTCATGTAAGACTTGACCAATAGGCGCGCAGAATCAGTGAAGCTCAGGCGGCCATCTTTGGATTGCTCGAGGCAAGTTCGTGTCGTCAATGCTATGCATACTGTTGTTGTTTGGATTGTCCTCGGCGGGCCACCGTATTTCCGTATAGTCAAGTTACTGTGGGCATGTTAGCGGTGCTGGTACAGAGAAGGTATGAGCTGTTATGTAGTGTGTGCTTAATGCTTTATTGATGCCATTCATTTTTTAGCTTCGTTATATCAATTTCTTTACGTATATTATCTGTATAATACACTATTAATGGTAAATAACCATGCTCTTTCTTACTCCTGTTAAATCAGAGAATGCCTTCACTTACCCTGTGGGGTAAGCAGTAGTGAATTGTTTTGGCAGGGACTGACTGATGCCCAGTGACATTAACTTGGAAATACTATTTTCATTTGTGAGGTGAGCTCAGTGATCCCTACTTTAAATGTGATCCATTATTCCTTAAATTAATTAGTTTGTAATTGTAGAAAGGATCTCTATTACATTTGGAAAGATAGTGCGGCTACAGTAAAGTGGACAGGTATATGGGGCCCAGTAAATATAATGTGTCTGTTCCAACCAATTAAAATAATTTGTGGAGGCAATTTTTAAAATACAAATTTAGGGGGTTAGTATAAGCGGGGAGCTTGGGCAGGAGGTTTGGGTTACAGTCTTCCATCCCCAGTCTATTGGTTAACTAAGCACCAAAAGAACTAACTTAAAAGGATACTGTTGGCGAAGTGGACTGGGTGCACTGTCCTTTGTAACGGACCTTTGGTCTGTTATCTGATGCTGGACGTCCCCACGCTCTTAATGAGGATCTCTAGTGTCAGATTTTTCCCCATAGGAAAGCATTGAAGAAATCCTAATGCGAACGCGGCAATTGCCACGCATGTGCATTAGGTTTCCCCTGCCAACGTCAGCCTGAGGAGCGTGAGCGGAGCCTGACCCAGCGCCGGTGCTGGACTCAGATAAGTGGGGGCATGAGGGAGAAGGCACTGCAGGGTTCTATATTGCCAGGAAAACGGGTTTGTTTTCCAGGCACTAAAGAATCCCTTTAAGGGGGCTCTCTTACCTAAAAACATCTTTTTCACAAGGAAGTTGTTTTGAGGGCTGGTGCCATCGAGGCTCTGGACGTTCCCCACAGAGATGCATTGATTCAGTGCATCTCTAAGAGGGGATGCTGATTGGCACAGTGTTTTCCTGCGCATGCGCAATAACCTTCTATTGCTTTCCAATGGGAAAGTATTGGATTGGCTTAGATCATCAAGATTAATGATCTCAGCCATGGAGGTGGAGTCATCTGCTGCAAGACAAGCGGCATCGTAGAAAATGTGAGCAAAAACTCCTTTCAATTAGTTCATTAGTGGACTAGAATGTCACTTTGACATATTCCTTGCCTTTAAATGCTTTTCACTTTTATAGTATGAAATATCCTGCATGCAAAGTAAGTTCAAAGAGAATTATAACTATTAGGCCCCAGTAGCCAACATGGAACCATTGCTGACTTTGATAACGTTTCTTTTCAGCTATTTTGGCCTAAAATTTGAAATTCACAATTGTATTCCTAATAATTCACACTTATATGAATACCTTTTGAAAGTTTTGAAATTGAGCAGTTCACCTGAATATTCCAGTTAAACTCTGATTTCGCTGCTTTTAGAACTTTGTTCTACAAATGCTCCCTATAAATAATCCTTACTGTATCAGTGCTCTATAGAACCTGATGAACAACATCATAAAAATACTAGTAAAATATATACTACTGTTATAGTCTTTACATTTGATAGTACCTTGAGCCAGGTCAGTGAATGAAGAACATAACTGCTGTATCTCAAGGTTTATTCACTAAAGTGAAGGAGATAAAATAGCCAAGATGCCAAAGTGGTCAGCTGACGCTCTTATTCAATCAAAGCCATGTATTGCTGCTTAGGCTAATGCTTTCTTATTAGTTGGAGCAGTTGGGAGGGGATGGGCTGCATTGGACTCTTGTGTAAAACTTTAAAAATGGTTTAACACTAAATGGAAGGACAGCACCAAAGGCCTCCATTCAATGAGATAAAGCAGTTGCAGTGTCCACAATGGGCCTTTAAATTTCCTAATATATTTTGGAAAGTAATTATTTGTATTAAATCAGTGCTTAGGGACATGGTTACTATAATATATCAAATATATCTATTTGCCCCTTACCTTTCTTTACAGTTGTCCTCTGTGATGGCTGCCATCTCTATAAACTCCTTCATGTGGCCCACAGCTAAGCTGACTTAAGGAACCTAGCCACAAGGTAGGAGCTGCGCACGCATTCAGCCAGTCCATAGGAAAGCATTCTCAATGCTTTCCTATGGATGCTGGCGTCTTCTCACTGTGATTTTCAAGAGACAGCCACTGGAGGCTGGGTTAACCCTAACATAAACATAGCAGTTTCTGTGAAACTGCTATGTTTATATAAAAAAAAAAAAAAAGGGTGGGGGGGGTTAACCCTAGCTGGACCTGGCACCCAGACCACTTAATTAAGCTGAAGTGGTCTGGGTGCCTATAGTGGTCCTTTAAGCTCTCCCTCCTGAGATTTTCTAGATCATGGCTATCTTCAAATCTTTAAAATCCTCGACAAAACCTAAATCCATTTAAGATTTAATTTTTGTAATGCATATGGTTAACATAAGGATCACATTTATGATTTAGAAAAGTTAGGGTTTAACGTTTTCACAGATTTTAAAGCTACCAGGCCTGCACAGATAACTGTGTAACATTTATTTTCACATTTGACCTTTAATTTTGCTTGTGTTTCAACTTTAACTGATTTTTATTTACTTGCAGCCATGAGTAAAAGAAATCAGGTATCCTACGTGAAGCCGGCAGAACCCACATTTCTGGCAAAGTTTAAGAAAGATGTTGGATTCAAAGCAGGTCCAACAGTGGACACCAAGGTACATCTTGGCCTTCTATTAAGTTAATTTTAATCTATTTGCCATTACTGAGGTTCATTTAAAATTTAAATACATGTTTTAAATAGATTTCTTGTACATTTTTCTAAAGCAACATGACACATGCACAAAGTCTCTGTACTGAGACCAGTTACACATTCACTGTGTATTGAGGCTTACTACACATTCACTATGTAACGTCAAATTCCATGGGCTAGGGACTTTTACATTCATAACTGGCATGATTTGGGGGGTTTTTTTCTGACTGACAAAACTTAGCATTTTTTTTTCTAGGTCTGGATGTGGCATTTGTAGGAACTTTGTCATGAATAAATTACTAAGTCCTGTTGTGTATAGAGTGCCTAGTGTTTTCTTCACATTGTGACTGGAAAATGAATAGGTATGACATTATTTTACGTACTTTAGATGTCCTCAATATAACTGGATTCTTAATCTTTCTGGAAGCAATTGAAGCAGCTGCATGATGTGCTCAGAGTCAGTTTCTGCCATATCTTAAGTGCCACTGTGCTCTGTACTAGTTGGTTTCCTAGTGAGAACGTCCCCTTCCTAAAGGCTTACTAGTGACTGCATACCTAGGAACACTGGTTTTCATCAAGTTAGTAGGAATGTGGTCCTTTCAAAGGGCAGTGGTAGTTTAGGTCTAGTTCTGCCTACTTTGATGATTGTCCTCCTTTTAGCAGTTGTTGTTGTAGGGTTTTTTTTTTTTTTTGTGTATGTGCAGATTGTTCCCCATTTTCTTCCAGGATTTGTCCCTTTGCTTACCTTGGAACAGGGAGATGATCTGAGGAGGTCCCAGGTACTGGCTGGTGACCCCTTCATTCTTATTTGCCCTGAATATTCAGTAACCATCCTGTTTCCTAGGCCAAATATACATGGACGGACCTCTGCTATTTGTGGCTGAATCCTTTTGTATGTCAAATAGAGAAGTACATATTCAGGATGTTTCAAAACGATGAACCCAAATTCAAAGCCGTATATTTCACGATGGCAACATAAAATTACACCAAAAGCATACAAACTGTTTAATGAGCTATCAAGTTTTACAAAAAAAGTAGTTGAATTCATCCCAAGTGGCTTTCAAAGTGTATTCTTTTACTAAAGTCACCGTTGCCACGATTCTGTTTTTGAGGTCATCCAGATTAGTCGCTAATGGTGGGACAAAAACACCATCTTTGACATATTGACACGAGAAAAAGTTACAGGCTGTAATGTCTGGAGATCTTGAGTGCCAGTAGTGTAGCACCAAGTCTTGGGGTACTGTGCGAGCTCTCCAACGTTGAGGCAGTGTTGTCAGTATAATTATATTGGCAGACATATTGTGCTAAAATAGAAATTAAAAGTGTCTACTGCCAATCACACTTAAAACAAAGCTGACTCCATTTTGTATCTTAGGGCTAAGAAAGACACAAAATTTCTTGCTTTCTGTAACTCCAGCCATTCAAGCCTGAGCTAAGGAATGCGTTATGTAAACAAGCAAGTGATAAGGAATGAAGTCTCACAGCAAGGATGGGGGTGGAATACAACCCGGAGAGACAGTTGTATACATAATAAAAATCTCTCTCTCTCTCTCTTTCTCTTTCTCTTTCTCTTTCTCTTTCTCTTTCTCTTTCTCTTTCTCTTTCTCTTTCTCTCTCTCTCTCTTTCTCTCTCTCTTTCTCTCTCTCTTTCTCTCTCTCTTTCTCTCTCTCTTTCTCTCTCTCTTTCTCTCTCTCTTTCTCTCTCTCTTTCTCTCTTTCTCTTTCTCTCTTTCTCTTTCTCTCTTTCTCTCTTTCTCTTTCTCTCTTTCTCTTTCTCTCTTTCTCTTTCTCTTTCTCTCTCTCTCTCATACACTTAATTACTATTATATTAAACACATATAATTAGTATCATGTTAATAATATAGACTATTCATTGATAAATATCAATTAAAAATATCATATTTAATAAATGTTAGTGGAATAGAAATAATCCTACACACAGCTTCACACAAGAAAGCCAGATAACAGTTACAGATAATACTTAGTAATTAATTTTACTTTCTAAATCTTACAAAGTCCCATTGTAAGCAAGGGGTGAAATTAAGGTTTAGACATGTCAGAAAGTAGATTTACGGGTCTATGCCCAACACAAAGTCTTGGGAAAACCTTTTGAAGCTGACAGCAAATTTGAGTTATGGTGGCCATTTAGATAAGGCAAAATTATGTCAAAATCATTATCAAATTTAGTTAACTCTTTGCAGGACAAGAAATTTTGGTGATGTAAGGGCACCATCTACTGACCGAAATCTAGATGATAGCCTGTTTTGTAGACACACCTACAGCTTCCTATTGGTCTTATCAGATAATGACATGCAAAGAGTTTGGCCCTTTAAAAAGTAAGAACAAAGGGAAGGGACGAAGATGCAGGACAGCAATTCCGGGAACACACTCTGGGACTGACACTCAACTTTCAAATTATCTTGGACAAAACTCGAGAAACACTTCCTGGACACTTTAAATTTTACTATCTTTCTAACCAACGCCACTTTTCTATTACAGTCAATCCTGTATTTTACATATCAAAGGTTTGATTGCGGGGGTTAATGAATCTACAGAATGGTAACATGTTGCATGAAGACTAAAAATTCTATGTACCGTATATACTCGTGTATAAGTCGATCTCATGTATAAGTCGAGTGCAGTTTTGTGACCAACAATTGGGAAATATGCTATGCCTCGTGGATAAGTCGAGGGTAAAACTTGGGGCTATGAAATTCTGTGATTTTTATAATTATATACACACACACTCATACAAACACACACTCTCTATTATATACACACACACACTCATACAAACACACACTCTGCATTATATACACACACTCATAATGCAGAGTGTGTATATAATGCAGAGTGTGTGTTTGTGTAGTGTGTGTAGTGTGTGTGAACTGGGTGGGAGGAGGGCATTTTTATTATTTTAATTTTTTTTATTTTAATATTATTATTTTTTTATTATTTTAATTTTTTTTTGTCCCCCCTCCCTGCTTGTTAACTGGTCAGGGAGGGGGGGTAAGTAACATCTCTGCCAGCCCCCTCCTCCCCCACTGAACTGCCAATGCCACTGGACCACCAGGGAAGGAGAGCCCCCCTCCCTGCCATGTATCAAGCAGGGAGGGGGGACAACAAAATAAATAAAATATAAAAATAATAATAACAAAATAATAAAAAAAAAATATAACAAAAAATAATTAAAATAATATTAATTTTTTTTTAATAAAAATGCCCACCCCCCACCAAGGCTCTGCAACACAAACACACACACACACACTGCATCACACACACACACACCATGCACTCATACACACACACTGCACTCATACACACACTGCACTCATACACACACACTGCACTCATACACACACACTGCACTCATACACACACACTGCACTCATACACACACACTGCATTCATACACACACACTGCATTCATACGCACACTGCACTCATACACGCACACTGCACTCATACACGCACACTGCACTCATACACGCACACTGCACTCATACACGCACACTGCACTCATACACGCACACTGCACTCATACAAACACTGCACTCATACAAACACTGCACTCATACAAACACTGCATTCATACACACACACTGCATTCATACACACACACTGCATTCATACACACACACTGCACTCATACACACACTGCATTCATACACACACACTGCATTCATACACACACACTGCATTCATACACACAAACTGCATTCATCATATATACACACACTGTAAATAAATATTCAATTAATATAATTTTTTTAGGATCTAATTTTATTTAGAAATTTACCAGTAGCTGCTGCATTTCCCACCCTAGTCTTATACTCGAGTCAATACGTTTTCCCAGTTTTTTGGGGTAAAATTAGGGGCCTCGGCTTATATTCGGGTCGGCTTATACTCGAGTATATACGGTACCTTTCCTGCAGCTCCTGTCACCTCCCTTCTCCTCCGTTCCGGTCAGCTCCACTGTAAGTCTCGCGGTCTGGTTGCCGCACGGATCGTTGCCATGGCTCTGACGGCCGCGGCTCTCTAAGTTGCCATAATCAGAGTCAGACAGTGACTCGAGTATAAGTCGAGTGGGGGTTTTTAAGCACAAAAAATGTGCTGAAAAACTAGACTTATACTCGAGTATATACTGTATTTTCCTTTTTTATCGAAATCTTGTAGATCTTGATATGGTTTGTGCTTATTATGATTTAATATTTCCCCCCACAGCGACAGGAACTTCCGGTGTTTGGGGATGAAGACGATGGCAGTGATAAGGAGGATGAAAGACCACAGGTGGTAGTCCTTAAGAAAGGTGATCTTTCAGAAGATGAAGTTATGAAAATTAAAGAGCAAATTAAAGGGACCTCAAAAGGTTTGTTTGATAAAAGTATTTGTCAATCTATTGACCCTCAAATGTTTTTTTTAATCAGTGAATCCTTTTGTAGGACTTTGAAAGAGCTTAGCTATGCATCTTTGCTTGCACTGTGGTTTCAGTTTATTGACACAATTTGCTGTATCCTTAGATACCTGTAACTAAGTATATGTATATATCCACTTGCAAACAAATATTAGCTTTGCTTAAATTCAGGACAAATCCCCAGATTCATTATTCATGAAACATTTCTTACTTATTTTGTTCCATCATTATTAATTGTTCAAAAAACAAAACAAACTTTGTAGGTGTTGTATCTGCTGCAATGGCAAAATCAGCTTTTAAACCACAAGAGCTTTCTTCTTGTTAATAAATGAATCATTTACCTTTAAAAATTCCAGAGTTAGAGAGAATGTACTAAAGTATTTTCTCTCTCACAAAAGAACAATGTCAGTTACATTGCATTTTATTATTAAAGTGTTAGCAGAATTAGTTTAAAACCACATCATAAAAAAGTTCTAGCTAATTCCTTGAAATGAAGATTGGATCACTATAGGGTCAGGAACACGAACATGTATTCCTGACCCTATAGTGTTAAAACCACCATCTAGCTCCCCTGGGCCCCTCATGCCTCCATAAATATAGTAAAAATCTTACTGTATTCAAGCCTGAAGCTGTAAATCTGCATGCTGTTAGATTCAGAAAAACAAACAGTCTGCTGACATCATCAGAAGTGGTAGCCTGATCCAATCACAATGCTTCCCCATAGGATTGGCTGAGACTGACAAAGAGGCAGATCGGGGGCAAAGCCAGCATGATTCAAATACAGCCCTGGCCAATCAGCATCTCCTCATAGAGATTAATTGAATCAGTGAATCTCTATGAGGAAAGTTCAGTGTCTGCATGCAGAGGGAGGAGATACTGAATGTTTGGATGCATTTGAGGCAGCCATGACCCAGGAAGGATCTCTAACAGCCATCTAAGGAGTGTGCCACTGAAGTTATCACTAGGCTGTAATGTAAACACTGCATTTTCTCTGAAAAGACAGTGTTTACTGCAGAAAGCTTGAAGGTAATGAGTCTACTCACCAGAACAAATGCAATAAGCTGTAGTTGTTCTGGTGACTATAGTGTCCCTTTAAAAATTAGCACAGATTCACAATGTGTGCTCTTGTACACCAGTGGCACAGGCTCTAGGTAAATATTTTATATATTTTGTTTGTTTTTAAGATGACCGCTCCTTTTTATATAATCTTTATTTATTGTGCAATGATTGACATACAAGCTTGAGATGCCACGACGACAGTAACAAGCATATTATAAACATACATCGAAATATAGTGTCATGTCATATAAGGAAATTGCTCATTTTTATGGGTATAATAAGCAGGCTGAACTGTAGATCTAAACATCTAAGATCTGCGAGAGTACAACCTTAAAGAAAAGTTAGGTAGTGCATGGTATATGCTAGGTAGGAGTTAAAGGAACACTATAGTCACCTAAACCACTTTAGCTTAATTAAGCAGTTTGTGTGTGTAGATCATGCTTCTCAAGTTTCACTGCTCAATTCTCTGCCATTTAGGAGTTAAATAGCTTTGTTTCTGTTTTTGCAGCCCTTGTCACACCTCCCCTGGCTCTGATTGACACAGCCTGCATAAAAAAATAAATAAATAAAAAGACTGATTTCACTTTCAAACAGATGTAATTTACCTCTAAACAATTGTATCTCTTTCTCTGTAAATTGAACTTCACATACAAGAAGTTCTTGCAGGGTCTAGCAAGCTAGTAACATAGCAGGGGATAAAAAAATCTAAATTAAACAGAACTTGCAATGAAGGAAGGATAAACTGTAGATGACTCTTTACAGGAATTGTTTAGGAAGGCTATGCAAGTCACATGCAGGGAGGTGTGAATAGGGTTAATAAACAAAGTGATTTAACTCTTAAAGGGTAGATAATTGAGCAGCGAGACTGCACGGGCATGATCTATACATCAAAACTGCTTCATTAAGCTAAAGTTGTTTTGGTGACTATAGTGTCCCTTTAAGTAAAGCTAAGAAAATCCTAGTATAATATGCTCGTATTAACACTGGAGATATAATGCCACTGGGTACTTGTTACTAAATTGATGTAGATGAGTAGGAATATAGGAATCCCTGCATTACAGATCAGCCCAATGCATTGTGTGTAACAAGATAAAACAGTGGAACATAATAATTGCACTGAGTGCCTGCTTAGCCACTGGTATTAATTATCAAGCTAGACTATCTGATCTGGATACTGTTGTGTGGGGCCTGGTGTAGTGGGAGACCTATGGCTGAGTAAGACCCTGCATCTTCATCTAACCAATGCCCATCAATGGCAGTACACCGTTCCGTGGAGTGTCCACTGGACCTGGTAATTAGTTTAGGCATCTTGTGTAAGGTTCGCAGAATTTTACGCAAAGCTGTTTGTGTGTTTTTCCCCCAGATTCATACTAGTCAAAAAAGTATATATATTTTTTTTTTATTCTTTAAAAAAAAAAAACTTAAATAGTTTTCCAATTTATGAATCCTAGAAAAGATACCTAAATAACATTTTGGTTCTGTAAACTTGATAAAGGGAGGAAATCCCAAATGTTTATCACAACAAATTTAGTACAGTAAAAAAGGTGTTTTCAGAAGACCGTAACAATGGATTGAAATATTGCTCCAAATTAAGGGGAAAAAAGTATTTGATCCCCTGCTACTTTTGAACATTTGCCCACTGACAAAAAAATAAGTATCATTTTAATGGTAGGTGTATTTCAACAGTGAGAGACAGAAAAACGCACGTCAATAAAGTTATAAATTGATTTGCATGTCAATGAGTGAAATAAGTATTTGACCACTTCGACTTAGTACTTGGTGGCAAAACCCTTGTTGGCAATCAAAGAAGTCAGACGTTTCTTGTAGTTGGCCACCAGGTTTGCACACATTTCAGGAGGAATTTTGTCCCACTCCTCTATGCAGATCCTCTTCAAGTTATTAAGGTTTCGAGGCTGACGTTTGGCAACTCGAACCTTCAGCTCCCTCCACAGATTTTCTATGGGTTTAAGGTCTGGAGATTGGTTAGGCCACTCCAGGACCTTTAATGTGCTTCTCCTTGAGCTTCTCCTTTGTTGCCTTAGCTGTGTGTTTTAAGTCATTGTCATGCTGGAATACCCATTCACGACCTATTTTCAATGCTCTAGCTGGGGGAAATAGGTTCTCACCCAATATTTGACGGTACATGGCCCCGTCCATCGTCCCTTTGATGCAGTGCAGTTGTCCTGTCCCCTTAGCAGAAAAACACCCCCAATGCATAATGTTTCCACCTCCATGTTTGACTGTGGGGATGGTGTTGTTTGGGTCAGAGACAGCATTCCTCCTCCTCTAAACACAGTGAGTTGAGTTGATGCTAAAGTGCTCAATTTTGGTCTCATCTGACCACAACACTTTCACCCAGTTCTCCTCTGAATCATTCAGATGTTTATTGGGAAACTTCAGACGGGCCTGTACATCTGCTTTTTTGAGCAGGGGAACCTTGCGAGTGCTGCAAGATTTCAGTCCTTCACGTCGTAGTGTGTTACCAATTGTTTTCTTGGTAACTATGGTCCCAACTGCCTTGAGATCATTAACAAGATCCTCCCATGTAGTTCTGGGCTGATTCCTCCATGAGGTGAGATCTTGCATGGAGCACCAGACTGAGGGAGACTGACAGTTATTTTGGGTTTCTTCCATTTGAGAATAAATCGCACCAACTGTTGTCACCTTCTCACCAAGCTGTTTGGCGATGGTCTTGTAGCCCATTCTAGTCGTGTGTAGGTCTACAATCTTGTCCCTGACATCCTTGGACAGCTCTTTGGTCTTGGCCATGGTGGAGAGTTTGGAATCTGATTGCTTCTGTGGACAGGTGTCATTTATACAGGCAACAAGTTGAGATTAGGAGCACTCCCTTTAAGAGAGCGCTCCTAATCTCAGCTCCTTACCTGTTAGAAAGACATCTGGGAGCCAGAAATCTTGCTGATTGATAGGGGATCAAATACTTATTTCATTCATTGACATGCAAATCAATGTATAACTTTTTTGACATGCGTTTTTCTGGATTACTATTTTTTTTTTTTTTTGTTCTGTCTCTCACTGTTAAAATACACCTACCATTAAAGTTATAGACTGATCCTGATTCCCAAAACAGGAAAAGATCCCTCAAATACATTAAATTATAGAATGATTTCTTTAATAAATCTAGATTTAAAAATCTCACATTTTAGCAAACTGATTAAAAGCCGTTTTTTTCTGATATAGTTGCAGTAGACCAGTCGGGTTTCATCAGGGACTGTGGTACAACAGATAATATTCGTAGAGTACTCAATTTGATTATTAAAAGCAATCCTATGTATTCAGAATTGGCCATTTTGGCAATTGACGCAGAAAAGGCATTTGACAGGGTTAATTGGAGGTTTTTAGATAGAGTACTAAATACATTTGGATTTCGAGGCCACTTTAAAGATACAATCATGTCATTATATATAGCGCCATCTGCGAAAATTATAAATCCATTTTTTCGAATTATCTACCTTTCCAATAAAAAAAATGGCAAGAGGCAAGGCTGCCCATTGGCCCCATTACAATATATCTTATCTTTTGAGCCATTGGCTATTATGATTAGAGATAAAGTAGTACATGGGATTAAATCAGCCGATCGGGAATATAACATTTCTCTATTTGCGGATGATGTTCTTCTGTCCCTGGTGAGGCCCGCAATCTCTATTCCAGAAGTTTTTAAAATAACTGAAATCTATGGAACTATCTCAAACTATAAAATTAACATAACGAAAACTAAGATTATGGTTTTAAATGTGTCTGAGGCTGAACTTTCTATAATCTGAAACTTAACTTTCAGTTTAATTGGAACCCGGAGTATATTGAGTATCTGGGTATTAAGTTATCTTAATATTCAGAATATAATACACTGTAACTATGATAATCTATATTTTTCTATTAATAAGCAACTGTCCAAGTGGACCAAAACTGAGATCTCATGGTTGGGGTGCTTAAATATAGTTAATGCGTATTTTATTCCAAAAGTATTATATTTTTTTAGGTGGAGGCAAATAAACGCCCAAGAATATCTCAAAATAACTATGACAAAGGCGGTATCTCATTCACTGATATTGCAAAATTACATCAAACATGTTTAGCTACGAATGTAATGTTGTGGTCTAACTCGAATATTCAGAATAAAAACTGGTACCAAATAGAACAGTTTATGTGGAAACTTAATGTATTCTGGACAGAAGATTCAATTAAAATTAAGCAAAGAAAACCTCAAAATCAAATAATAGTGGATATGTTAGATGTGCTAAAAAAGTTGAAAAGCAAACTTAATCTTTCAGACTATATCCTTATATATGATCAAAGTAGGATCAGCGCTAGTAATGCCACAGAAAATATGTAAAATAGTAAGAAGGCAGCACACCTAAAAAGGGGTAACCCTCCTATCCCCTATAGCTAAATCAGAAATGGAAAGAACAAAGGAAATAGGGCGCGCCTTTAATAAAAATACATTGATATAATCACTAAAAAGTACAGTAAAAATAAGAATAAAAAAGTCCAAAAGTAGTAGTCCACAGGTATATAGGGAGTGTTCTTTGTAGTGTGATATGGTATCGTCCCGGATGATGACTTGTATTTTTCAGTGAGTCATATGTGGAAAAATAAAAAGAGCAACCAAATGGTCAGTATGTTGGTATAGGTGGATATATATATAAGATAAAATGGAATTACTCACAATTTGCAGAGCTAAAATCCAGCTCTGGTATCAAGTGCGTGAAGTGGAATGATCCCCACTCAAGGATATATGGAGCCGTTACTTGTAGGATGGGTGGTCCACCAAGGATTCCAACCGGAAATTAAAACAAATAAAATATATAGTGCTCACTGTTTATTTAAAATTGAGTTAAGAAATTGTATGAAATGTACTCACGATGTATGATCTCTGCTCAATTTTAGGCGTATGGGTGATATAATCCCCACCTAGGGATATTTCCTTAAAGGCCAAAATTCCTTTATTATTACAATGTAAAATTATTAAAATATTAATAATAATGGTCCAAATGGACCAAAACTGAGATCTCATGCTTGGGGTGCTTAAATATAGTGAATGCGTATTTTGTTCCAAAAGTATTATATTTTTTTAAGTGGAGGCAAATAAACGCCCAAGAATATCTCAAAATAACTATGACAAAGGCAGTATCTCATTCACTGATATTGCAAAATTAGATCAAACATGTTTAGCTGCGAATGTAATGTTTTGGTCTAACTCGAATGTTCAGAATAAAAACTGGTACCAAATAGAACAGTTTATGTGGAAACTTAAATAATGTATTCTGGACAGAAGATTCAATTAAAATTAAGCAAAGAAAACCTCAAAATCAAATAATAGTGGATATGTTAGATGTGCTAAAAAAGTTGAAAAGCAAACTTAATCTTTCAGACTCTATCCTTATATATGCCCCTATAGAAACTTTACAATATGATCTGATTGATCTGGATATGCAGAAATGGAGGCTAGGGAAAAATTAAATGATTGATCTTTTTGAAGATAAAGTTCTGATTAGCTTTCCTGGCTTGAAAACGAAATACAATGTACCCTTTAGGGATACTTTTCTATATAGAAGGTATAAACACCATCTTAATTTTTTTTGTTTTTTTGAACATCCTATCTTCAGATATTTAGATAATGTAGGTACTAGAGGTTTAATAACTAGATCTTCTAAACTTTTGGATGTGGAAGATGATGTTATAAAAATGTCACCAATAGAAGAATGGAAAAAGGATCTCAATGTAATCTACACCCCATATGAATGGTACCAAACCACTATCAAACTAAAAATATATATACATTGTATATCCCTGATAGAACTTCATCTAAAGATCCGATATACCATATAAACTCTAGTATAAGCCGACCCAAGTATAAGCCGTGGCACCTAATTTTACCACAAAAAAATGGGGAAAACGTATTGACTCGAGTATAAGTGGGAAATGCACTGGGGTGGGAAATGCAGCAGCTACCGGTATCAAAATGCAATGCAAAGCTTAAGATTATCCCATGACTAATGGGAGTTATAGTCACATTACAGACTGTGCACTTATTCACTAAAACCTGATCTAAAAAAAACAAAACACATTTAACCCCTTAAGGACCAAACTTCTGGAATAAAAGAGAATCATGACATGTCACACGTCATGTGTCCTTAAGGGGTTAAAGCAAAAGGAAAAATCCTCTTTTAGAGAATTTGCTGGGTTTTTTCTCTCACCCCCACCTCCTTAGTGGTCCTTTCCCCCTTCTCCTCCCCCCACCTCCTTAGTGGTCCTTCACCCCCCCTCCCCCCACCTCCTTAGTGGTCCTTTCCCCCTTCTCCCCTCCTTAGTGGTCCTTTCCCCCTTCTCCCCTCCTTAGTGGTCCTTTTCCCCTTCACACCCCACCCCACCTCCTTAGTGGTCCTTTCCCCCTTCACCCCCCTCCCCACCTCCCTTAGTGGTCCTTACCTCCTTAGTGGTCCTTTCCCCTTCTCCTCCCACCCACCTCCTTAGTGGTCCTTTCCCCCCTTCTCCTCCCCCACATCCTCAGTGGTCCTTTTCCCCTTCTCCTCCCCCATCCTTAGTGGTCCTTTTCCCCTTCTCCCACATCCTTAGTGTTCCTTTCCCCATTCTCTCCCCCACATTCTTAGTGGTCCTTTCCCTTCTCCCCCCCACCTCCTCAGTGGTCCTTTCCCCCTTCTCCTCCCCACCTCCTTAGTGGTCCTTGTCACGAACGCACCCTACTCCAAGGGTGTGCGTGACGTAGTTGTGGTGGTGAAAGGGTTAAAGTACACTATTTGTCTGCACTAGACTGGAAATAATGACCAAATCCCCCTTTAACACCACCCACACTTAAACATAATAATATAACTATTACTACTTTAACGCTGCCACCACCAAGACAATTTATAAATGGGGTGTCTTGGTCCCCCAGGTAAATCAATAATAAAACCCACCAAATATTACTTAATACAATATTTAAGGAATTATAAAAATACTAACTAGTCTCTTCAGGTAACGTGATTCTTAAACAGACAAAGGCAAAACTTAATAAATGAATGTTTATTATGAGCAAAAGATAGTCACAGTGCATATAAAAATATATGATAAACAAATTATTTACACCAACAACAGATAAAAACAAAAAGGATAAAATACAGAAGTCCTAATTACTCACTTAGGTTTTCAAAGTACAACTTCTGTCCAGGGGGTCTCTGGCAAGGAAAGATGGTGACTCACTCAAAATTAGATCTTGGCCCCAAGCAAGTACACAAACACCCTTCAGGATCATTAGATATATACCCTGTGGTTTATCAAGTCTTGCCCAGGGGTGGAGTTAAGGCATACCTACAGTAATAATAACTGACCACCTCCTTTGTTCCAGACCACTGTCAATCCAAATGGAAACATTTGACTCTATCTTCTTTTTTGTACCTGCCACAGAAATAATAATTGCATCTACAAATTTATTATTTTCCCATTCCATAGACATGTTGCACGTCCCACCCACGATCCAATAGGACGGACATCACAATTCCTTTCCCTAGGGTCAAGTTAGGCCACTCATGTTTGGACTTGGTTAGAAGATGGCGCTTGTCACATTCCAAATATAACAAAAATGAGGCTTTATTATTATTCTGTGGGGGTAAATATGAATGTTTTTTGTCCTTCCTTTGGATATGATACTAGAACAAAGCTAATGGCATTTGCATATCAAAGAGATTTACTCATCCCTTACAAGGTACATGCCAAATGGATGAAGAGACATTCAGACTTTTTCCAAGTGTAGAACCTCACACCTTGCAGAGCTTTTATTACTTCACATCCATATAGTAAAATCCTTTTCACATTCCTATACCATTCACACTACCCCTTCTGTCATCTGACCTCTGTGGGGGTCCCAGCTTCAAAAGATGTAACCCCTGTTGACCTCAGCAATAGCATCTCTGTAATTTGTGCCATTTACTACAAGAAATCACATTAAAAGATGATATTCCATAGTCTCATAATAAATTATACACCCTTGCCGTGACAGTCCTTTCCCCCTTCTCCCCCCCCACCTCCTCAGTGGTCCTTTCCCCCTTCTCCCCCCAACCTCCTTAGTGGTCCTTTCCCCCTTCTCTCCCCCACCTCCTTAGTGGTCCTTTTCCCCTTCTCCCCCACCTCCTGGTGATTTTTCCCCTTCTCCCCACCTCCTTAGTGGTCCTTTCCCCTTCTCTCCCCACCTCCTTAGTGGTCCTTTCCCATCCCCCACCTCCTTAGTGGTCCGATCCTTCTCCCCCTCACCTCCTTAGTGGTCCTTTCCCCCTGTTGTCCTACCTATGTAGCGTGGCCGGGCGGCACAGACCGCAGTACAGGAACTTCTGTTTCCTGTACCCGGCCACCGGCTGACTGAAGGGGAAGTGCTCGCTGTGCACTTCCCTCCTGCCGGTCACCTAAATCTAGCGCCTCCCAGGCCAGTGCGCCCTAGGGAAGCTCGAGTATAAGCAATGGGGGGGGCTTTTTCAGCATAATAAATGTGCTGAAAAAGTCGGTTTATACTCAATTATATATGGTAGATGGTATCAGGTCTCAAAACTACATAAAATCTATGAAGCCTATTCGCCTCTATGTTGGTGTTGTCAGAAAGAGATTGGCACAGTATTTCATATATGGTATACATGTCCGATACTAAATGACACCAAGACATTTATAATATCCCTGATAGCTAACTTAATTCACAACACCATTATACTTACACCTTCCCTTTTTAAATTTAATTTAGACTTCCCAATAATGGAGAAAAAACACAAATGCCTAATCACACATATACTTTATGCCTAGTTATCTATAGCTCGTGACTGGAAATCTAGTTTTTCTCCATCCTGCCAAGAAATTCTAAACCAGATAGAGTATCAGTACACAATGGAATGTAACTTTATTCCTACTTTGAAAATATTTACTTCCTATCGCAAATATTGGCACCCTTGGGCGGAATATAGAAACAATACAAACTAGCTTGTCATAGGGTTGGGACATGTAAACCAGGGGTGTTCCACTTTTTATTTAGGTCAAATAAGATTCCCTTGGATATATCAATCCTCATGCTTACTACCGAGCCCCAATGATTGCAGTTATTTTTTATATATGTTCTTTATATATTTCATGCTACATGTACATTACTGTAAATATTTCTGTATAAGTTATGTATGAACATTTTGTTAATGAGCATTGAAATATGTGTTGTAAATAAATAAAAATAGATAAAGAATTTTCAAAAAAATTATAGACTGATCATTTCTTTGTCAGTGGACCAAATACCTTTTTCCCCACACTGTATATATCATATAAATACTTCCACCATAGATGTGTCATATCTACTCTCATTATATGTATAAAGAGATTTGCTAAACTAACCCCTTCAGGACCGGCCTATTTTGGCCATGTTGTACGTTAAGGACCAGGGCTCTTTTAACTCTTTTGTGGTGTTTGTGTTTTAACTGTAATTTTTCGCGCTCTCATCTACTGTTCCCTTTAAGTTATATATTGTTTGGGGGTTTTTTCAGGACAAAAAGGGCTTTCTTTACATACCATTATTTGTATCATGTCATATAATTTACTTTAAAAAAATAATTAAATATGGTGAAAAATTAAAAAAACAAACATGTTTTTTGACTTTTGCTTGAAAAATCTTTTACTTACTTATGAAAGCTAATGAAAAAAACTGCTAAATAGATTCAAAATTTTGTCCTGAGTTTAAAAACACCCAGTGCTTTTTTTGCTTTTTTTTGAAAGTTATAGGGCTATAAGCACAAATAGGAAATTGCTGTTTCAAAATATATATTTTTAAAATGTATCAATAGTGACATTGTAACACTGTTATCTGTCATAAATCTATGAATCACACCCCACATGTACATATTTTTTTTAAAGTAGACAACCCAGGGTATTCAATATTCAATATGGGGTATGTCCAGTCTTTTTTAGTAGCCACTTGGTCACAAACACTGGCCAAAGTTAGCGTTCATATTTGTTTGTGTGTGAAAAAAGTAAAAAACTAAATTGAACGCTAAGTTTGGCCAGTGTTTGTGACTAAATGGCTACTAAACAAGACTGGACATACCCCATTTGCAATACCTTGGGTTGTCTACTATTGCAAATGGTATGCCATCCTAGGGGTAATTCTCATTCATGGGCTACCATACACTCTCAAAGGCAACATAAACAACCTGGCAATTTTCAATGTAAAAATATTTTACCCTTATATTTGACCCTGTAATTTTCAAAAACGCTATAAAACGTATACATGGGAGTACTATTATACAGGAGACTGAACACAAATATTAGTGTTTCAAAACAGTAAAATGTATCACAACAATTACCGTATATACTCGAGTATAAGTCGACCCGAATATAAGTCGAGACCCCTAATTTTACCCCAAAAAACTGGGAAAACTTATTGATTCGAGTATAAGACTAGGATGGGAAATGCAGCAGCTACTGGTAAATTTCTAAATAAAATTATATCCCCCCAAAATTATATTAATTGAATATTTATTTACAGTGTGTGTGTATATAATGAATGCAGTGTGTGTGTGTGTGTGTGTGTGTGTGTGATGCAGAGTGTGTTTGTGTATGTGATGCAGAGCCTTGGTGGGGGGTGGGCATTTTTATTATTTTTAATTATTATTATTATTTTAATATTAAATTTTTTTGTTATTTATTTTATCATTGTTTAATATTATTTTATTATTATTTAAATTTGTATTTATTTATTTTTTGTCCCCCTCCCTGCTTGTTAGCTGGCCAGGGAGGGGGGCTCTCACTTCCTGGTGGTCCAGTGGCATGGGCTGTGTAGGAGGGGGGCTGGCAGAGAGCTGTAACTTACCTTTCCTGCAGCTCCTGTCAGCTCTCTTCTCTCTCCTCCGGTCCGGTCAGCTTCCCTGTCAGCTCCCACTGTAAGTCTCGCGGTGTGACTGCCACGCGGAGCATTGCCACGGTAATCCGTGGCAACACTCTGACCCCGCGGCTCTCGCGAGACTTACACTGGAGCTGACAGGGGAGCTGACGGACCGGAGGAGAGAGAAGGGAGCTGCAGGAAAGGTAAGTTACAGCTCGCTGCCAACTTAATAAATAAAAATGCCCACGCCCCACCAAGGCTCTGCATCACATACACAAACACACTCTGCATCACACACACACACACTGCACTCATACATACTTGTCATGAGCCCGGCTGTCGAGTGGGGGTCTTTCAGCACAAAAAAACGTGCCGAAAAACTCGATTTATACTCGAGTATATACGGTATATCATCAGTGTAAGTGCTGTTTGTGTGTGAAAAATGCAAAAAAAAAGTCGCAGTATCATTGCTGTGATATGTTTTACTGTTTTGAAACACTAATATTTGTGTTCAGCTAAGTTATTTTTTTTTGATTATACACTTCCAGGGAGACTGCCTGTCAGCAAAGGCAGACACTTGGACACCTATTGTGACCATGTGACCGCTCTGTTGAGCGATCACATGGGCGCAGGGTCCTAATTTGCCGTGGGGAAACTGCCTGGGCTGTCAGGCAGTCTCCCCACACCGGGAACAACGGCAATCGGGTAAGTACATATTACCGTTATGACGGTTCAGGATCGTCACCAGTCCTCAAGGGGATTTTTCCGATGACTGTCCTAAACCGTCCACGGTCGGGAAGGGGTTAATTGCCAGTTTTCATCAATGAATAATGTTTGTTTATAAAACGAAGCTCTTCCTCTTCTGCAGTATGGTTTTTGCACCAAGCTTGCAAATAAGCTAACCAAAGCCTTATTAGTATAGTAGTTGTGTCTGAGTATCTTAGCTAGATGGCAGCAGAGCCTGAAAAGTTCAGATTTAGTCTTGACAATTTCTGCTTTATGGGATTTAAAGAACATTACAAGAAATTCTTATTGGACTCATTTCGTGTTTAGTGAACTGCATAAGACAATCTGCAGATGATAGATACAAACATATGGTGGTGTGTTTTAATTTATTTTTATTTCTCATGCAGACGAAGAATCGTCCCCTGCTGACGGAAAGATCCTATTTAAAAAGCCTGTAAAACGTTCCTCTGGTGACAAGTTTTCAGGCATTAATGCCAGTTCTAGCAAAAAGCAGAAGCCAGAAGAAAGTAAAGATTTGAGTAGCAAATCAAGCCAGAAACAAGTGCGAAATAGCAGTTTACTCTCATTTGATGATGGTGAAGATGAAGATTAGTGTTTTTGTGTAGACCATTCCGTCTTCAGTTTTTATATTTAACTAAGCAGGTCTCTTGACCTGTAATTGTACAAAATGTAATTGATTGTCAACCAAATATTCATTTTTAGTCGGTTTCTGAAAAAACATTTTTGGGAATAGCCAACAATAAAAATATCACTTTTGTAAAATATTGCTGTTACACTTTTTATGTGTATGCTGTATTGTTGTTTTGTTTTTAAGTGGGTAGCTTAACTTTTTTTTTATTTTGCTGTAGACTGAACATTGAGTTTTACAAGTTGTACTTGAAAAATAGTAATAAAATGTAAAATTGCCTTTGGATTTTCAATTAATGAGAAATAGAATCTATTTGGTCAGGGATGATTTTAATGGTTTAATTTTCTTTTTAGTTTGCTGTGTTAAGACTCATTACCACTATTAAAATGGTTTTGTTAACCGTAAAGTAACAGTCTTTAATTAAAACTTTTTTGGATTTTTTTTATCACTATTTAGGTTACAATGATTTCACAGATATGTAGGTCATAACAGCACATTGAATGATCAACAATTAGTAAAGGAACTGGAATCATAAAATCACAGAACTTTCTTTTGTAACATAGTGTAGTAGATTCTTTTCTGCAAACCAATAAGTTTGAATGACTATCTGTTCCTGTCCAAATTAAAGATAATAAAGTTGCGTGCACGCAGAAGTAAATTCACACTGAGACACAGGGTTCAGGTTAATGAAAGAACTTCAGGAAAGTTTAATGGCTTCTGTTTAAAAAGCAGGCTCGCAGGCCCTTTTAAAGGCATTATTACATCATTGAAGAAAATCAAGATATAGACAAATAGACATTGTTAATTGGCTTAGGTGCTAAGTAGTTAGTAAAATGCCCTCCCTACGGGGTGTACCATCTTAGGTCACTATCCTCGTCATGATTGTCTCCTCCAGGTATAAGCGCCATTTTGTTAACATGAGGAGCTCACTCGACGGGAGGGGCCTTTTGGCAGCTATCCATTTAGAGTGTAGCCTGGCACTGTTAGTTTCTCAAGGTTAGGTTTCAAGGCTTTTAGTAAATACACATTTTATCAAAGCTATCATTGTAAGTGGGATGCTACAGTGTTTCACACTACAGGTGCATAATATTTCTTGCTGACATGCAAATTCTATATTCTATAGACAAAGCTTTCTTGTAAAACTATGGGGCCTCTTAGAGGTATAGCAAGAGGATTTAAAGGGGCCTTACAGATTTATAGAAGCCTAATAATTCTACAACAGTCCCCCCTTAAAATGTTATTTGCTAAAAGACAAAACTTCATTTGTTAGTATCAGAAGATGTGTTAGCCCAAAGACACAGAAACCCCATGACCGCTGACTTAGTGTTAATGCAAAGTGCAAGTCTATCCCTCTCTTGACCCTAACAGGCTGCAGCACATCCGTCAGTACGGTTCAGGAACACTCTTCACTCCGCTGGTAACCCATAGTGGCTTATCCACTACTTCTCCGTACGGCAGTCTACCCATAAAGACGGACGCTGTCCCTGTACTGTCCCTTCCTGGACTTTCTGTACTTCATCAGCATACGGGAGAGTTTGTAGCGGAATACAGGGTGATGTGAGGTCTTGGTCACCAATCTCTAGATGGGCGAAGGTTGGTGTTGCTTGGTCTACAGTTTTCTGCAGGAATTTCCTTAGGCATGGGAGGACACAACAAATGAGAAGAGCGAGAATAAAAAGAAAAATTAGTAAGGCAATACCAATCTGGACTAAAGCTCTCTGCCAACCAGTCATCCAACCAAACCATTTTTCCCAGGGATCAGTAACTCCAGAGTTTCTCTTTAACTCTTCTGAGAGTCTATTTAATTTATCTATGGCCAGAGTGACTTTACCATTAGGACCTGTGTTTTCTGGGATATAAGTGCAACAAGTCATGGTGTCAGGTAGTATTTTACATACACCCCCCTTTTCAGCTAGAATCATGTCTAAGGCCATTCTGTTCTGGAAGGTCATCTGGGATGTGGCCTGCAACTGCTCGGCCAGGCCCTGGAGGGCATCCCTGGTGTAGTTGACAAAACGCTGTTGGTTGTAATAAATGTAGTTAATCCAATTAAGGTTTTTGTTGGCAGTGACTATGGTAAAAGGTGGTTCAAAACCTACAGCGACTTCATCTCTAGCTTTAAATTCATTAGGCACCCCCCTAGGTACCCCAACGGCATCTATGTAAATGTGGGGGTCAAAACTGCCTTTTACTGGGGTTTCGCGCTTCACTCTGGCTGGTGTATGTGGAGGGTCGTATGTGTCATGATGATTATCAGAAATAATATGAATGGGCATGATAACTTTGGCTAGGGTACACTCACCCCACCACTCAGTTTCCAGCCTAGATCTTAACTGTAGATCCCCACATAACCAGTAAATATCCCCCAATGACCTGGTATGGTGTTGCAACAGGCGTATAGGAACAGTTCTGTAGGTGGCACAATAGCCATTGGAAAAGTTACCCATGAATTTACCAATCCCGTCATAAATAGCATAACAAGTGTAATTACCCTTGTAAATCGTGATTCCATCTGGGGGTTTGACATTTCCAATTAAGAGGGGGTACTCTGCCGCCCATGATTCGCAGAGGGAAATTATAGCGTGTTGAAATTATAGCGGTAGGCAAAAAGACTAAGGAAGCAATTCTCTATCTCCAAAGGGAGAGTTAGAGGAACGGTGCCAAGATGAGGTCGAGCACCACCGCACACCTAGCATGCGGTTTTGTTATGTTTATTAGCATTATATTTCATCCACTCTAACCATAGATTGATATCATTGTAACCAGTTTCAGTGGCCATGGTGTTTTCGAAGGTGGGGTTAGCAATGGCCATCATGTCCTTAAAAGACTGGATATGTGGTTTTAGTGGATTCGGGACCATATGAACAGCCCCTTGCCACTCTGGAGAGTGGCACATATCTTTAAGATAGAAATGACCTAATTTGTTATAGGAACCACTTTTCCAATACATTCCCATTACATATTGGTCAGCATCCTTTGGACCAGGGTGCTCAATGTTTAACATTAATTTCATGGGCAGACCTCCTCCTGGCTTTCTTAAAGTCATTCTTTGAAGGAGGGATCTGCCATGGTCATCTACTTTAGATAAGGCACTTTTGGGCTTGTAACCCCAGGCAGGCCCAATATTCCATCCTGCAGCCCCCCAATGGTCACAGTTGTGTCCCCATTGCTTGTCAACTACACAAACATAGGGGTCCTTTGCGTGTGGTATATCTTTGTAAATGGTTTGAATCTGTGACTTGGGAAATGGACAATCTACTATGTCACAGTAATCAAAGGTGAATGTAGCTACGCGGGTGCATGATGAGTTATACCAGAATGTGTACCCACTAGCATCTTTGGTAATGGCCACTTGTTGGGCCTCAAGGAAACTAATCAAAGGGATGATGTACCAGAGGTACATCGTTGTGAGGAGTCTGCTTCCTCTGGGACAGGAACCTTTTTGCAATGGGAGGCGTGTATCCAGTTGCTTTTCCCAGCCAACTTGACGGAGGTGGAGGTGATCAGTAGAACTTGGAATGGTCCGTCAAATCTTGGTTCCAGGGTGTGTTTCCGCACAAATTTCTTGACTTGGACCCAATCACCAGGGAGCAGACTGTGGTTGCCCGTATCAGAATCAGGATCTGGAATTGAAGAGAAAACTTGGGCATGGATTTTGTTTAAAGCATTTGCGAGTTCAGTTACATAATCTACTAAAACATCAGTTTGAAGTTGTAGTTGTTGGGGAAAATAGCAACCTAGCCTAGGTGCAGTCCCAAATAGAATCTCATATGGGGACAGTGAGGTAGTATTTTTGTACAAGAGCATTCATTAGATCCTTTGATAAATGTGCAGGTCCGTGTGCCCATTGTACGACTGCTGGGTACAAATTCTTAGGGAGGCAGAACTTGAGGTTGTTGGAGTACACTCCATCCTTCAGAACTGCCCCTTTCTGTTTCCATTTTTGTATTTCTTCAGGAGCAACTGCAGCCTGTTGTTCCCGTAGGATTTTTAGATCAGTTGGAAGTGTCTGCAAGGTAAATGTGGGAGTTTCTTCGTTTCCGGACACACTTCTGTCCACTTCCTGTAGTTCTCTTGCAGCTTGTTTTGCAGCTTGATCAGCCAGATGGTTGCCCCTTGCTTCATCCGAATCCAACTTCCCATGTGCCTTTACCTTCAGAATGGCCACTTCTTCTGGGAGTAGGAGGGCATCCATCAGCTCCTTGATTGCAGAACTGTGCTTGACTGGTGTACCGGCAGTGGTAAGAAATCCTCTTGTTTTCCAAATTAATCCGAAGTCATGAGCCACGCCCAGTGCATATCTTGAATCTGTGTAGATATTGGCGCGCTTTTCTTCAGATATCTTGCATGCTGAAGTTAGGGCTTGTAATTCAGCTTCCTGCGCAGACATTGTTGATGGTAGAGATGATGACTTGATAATTTCATCTGTTGTGGTGACGGCATATCCTGTGTGATATTTTCCTTCTTCATCAGCATACCTTGAGCCGTCCACAAACAGGGTGAGGTCAGGATCTATTAGTGGATCCTCATGCACGGTTGGCAAATGTGTTGTTTCCATTTTCATCTGTTCAAAACAGTTATGGGGCGTTTCTGGATCATAGTCGTGCTTTATGACCAGATCTTCAAATTCTTCTTCCAGAAAGAACCGTGGCCATGCTTTTACATGTTCAGTTGTTGGGTACTTGACAACGCCTTTTTCTTGGAGCTGTAGTTCATCCATGGTGGCCCATAGTTGGGTCAGGGTTGATGGTTGGCTTGTACCACATGGTACAGAAGGCATATTCTGGCCCGTCACAGGCGGGTAAATTGAGGTGCATCTTTTTAATGGTGTGGGTAAGAAGTAGGACATAGCCTTCATCCATGATAAATCCATAGTAGCTACCCCCCCTCAGGGAGTGGCAGAAGAGTGGACGGATTCAGAACCTGACATCTTTGAAGGGTAACATTGTCAGGTAACAGGAGATGACATTGGAGACGAAGGTGCCTGGCAGGGGTGACATGTTTGAGTTGGACCTGGTTAAGTATGGCAGAAATATCATGAGGTGCCAAAACAGTCAGAGGGTGGCCAAGAACCAGGTCCCCAGTGCGGTTGATGAGTTCCTGAGCGGCAAAAACAGCTCGGAGGCAAGAGGGGGTTCCTCTAGCCACAATATCTAGTTGGCAAGAGAAGAAGCCAATAGGCCTTTTGCGGCCGCCAGGTCCATGGGCTTGAGTAAGGACTCCTGTAGCGTGGCATTGTCTTTCAGACACAAATAATTTGAATGGTTTGGTGTAGTCTGGCAAGCCAAGGGCGGGAGCAGAGGCAATAGCACGTTGGAGAGTGTAGAAGTTGTCATGTGCTTCTGAGGACAGACAGAACGGGTCTGATTTAAGAGCATCGTACAAAGGTTGCATGAGTAGAGAGGCCTCTGGGATCCACGCTCGGCAGTAAGAAATGAGGCCTAGAAAGGCGTGGAGGGATTTAGGAGTTTTTTGGAGGCGGAATGGCCAGAACCACTCCGACACGATCACGGGTGAGGTGTCTGGTGCCATGGGACAGGCAATGGCCTAGAAAGATTACTGTGGCCTGGCAAAATTGAAGTTTGGCAAGAGATGCCTTACACCCCTGATCTGCAAGATAACAAAGGAGGTCCAGAGAACATTTTCCTGTCGTGGGGATGTCATCTCCAAGTAAAATGGGAAGGGAACAAAGAACTGTAGTGTCTTTTCGTGACAAAGGTGTATTTAATTGAACCTGGCCGTCTGCAGTGAGGGTGATGGATGCTTGGAGGCGGGATAGGACATCAGCACCCAAGAGGTTAATGGGACATGTGGAGGAGACAACAAACCGGGAAAGGATATCAGAATCCACATGGAGGAGTTTAGTGAGTGGGTTACTGCGGGAAGTACCATCAACACCAACACAAGAGACATCGGTGTCAGACAGGAACGATGAGTCAGGCAGGTCTTGTTCTCTAAGAACACTGCGGGCTGCACCTGTGTCAACCAGGAAAGTAGTAGGGTGACCTTCAATAGGTAAAGTTACAGTGGCTAGTGGCCCCCCTTGTTCCCTGTAGACACTGCCATGGCAGGGGCATTAAGCATCAGTGGGTTCTATCATTATAAATAATGGTTAATAGTAAGTGAAGTAAAGTTCCTATATGTCTTTGGATAAAACATTAACTATTGCGGTACTATCATTTATATTAATTAGACTATAACAATTATACCACCCTGTAACTAAAATTAATAACCAGAAGTGGCTGGGTTAATAAAACATGTCACTAATCCTTCTAATGCTAAACCATCATTTAACGTAAAGGATGTTACTGTAAACATACGATCTGTAACTAGCAAGATTCGATTAAGCAAAGATACAATGTTTAAAATAACTTGCATTATTTGGCTATTTCCCTTGTTGCAAGATTAATCTGGATAATCAGCTGTTATGCTCTTATATTCGTGTCCAACAGATCTCATTTGTAGGTCACACCACAGTTGCAAATGACATTCTAGCAACCTTCTTTTTTTTTATTTTTTATCACGGACACATTTCTGATACAGGGAAACAAATGGCATGACTGTGTTAGTAATTATAATGTTTCTGTTCATAATATGTAGAGTGTAAGGAAAACAACATGTCTCTAAATAGGACGAGCATAATAGGGGTAGGCCTCATGATGGAGGCAGCCATGACAGGGGCGGAGAAGGAAATGACAGCAAGGGAGGAAGTGAAGTGACGTCCATGATAGGTGTGGGAAAGGAAGACAGGAGGTGTGGGCATGGTAAGGGCGGAAGTGACGTCACTTTAGAAGCAACCGTGACTGTAGATAGGTCACGGGACTGGCAGGGTCAACCTCCTTCTCTACTAGGCACCATCTTTAGGGTGGTGGCTGACGCACTTTCAACAATACACTATATTATAACTAATAAAATAAGTCAGTTCCGAGATTTAAATACTAAACTATAAATAAACCTGACAGGTTAAATAAGACAGTTGAAAACATTATGCATTTAACAGCCCATACAGCTGTCTCTAGAAACATGTTCTTTAAAATGATGCAAGATAAACTCACGGAATTCAACCAATTTCCCTTATCATCCTTCACATACTAGCTTAACAACTTCGCATATTCCCTCTATCCACATTGCATAGTTTTGCAACAAATCACGCTTGCCTTTACACTTAACACGTCCAAATATTCCTCTATTCTTGTATCAGATTCACTTACCTAACCTCCGTAATCAACACTGAGCTACATTCTTGTGTCTCCCCCACAATCCTCACTACTTTATCACAAAACACAATTTATATATATATATAGCACCGTGGAATCTGCCGGCGCCTTGCAATCGGCAACAATAATAATATTATTACACAATTATAACACCATAACCTTTGAATTAGAATATTTTCCAGCAAAAATCCCGTCTCTAACTCTTATCAGTAGCTCCGAAATGCAGGCATGTCACTCCTCCATTCGGAGGCAAGCGGGGAGGAGGGGGGTGGAGAAAGTGAGACAGTGCAAAAAGGGGAGAGAGAGAGACTGCAGGCATGAAGGTTAACTATGTGAGTGCTGTAAAGTAACAAGACAGAAGGACAGAGACTTATACGTTTGGAAACCAGAAATCTTTGACGGGAGAAACGGACTGGAGGTGCAGGGAGCTGCAGAGAGAGGATGAGGGTGACGAGATCTGTAGGACTGATGGGGGGGAGAATAGGGATCCATCAGCATTCAGGACTGGGCAAACAGGGGTGGTGGTAGGGTGGGGACCAGGGGTGGGGACCATGGTCAGCTACATTTCGGTCATTGCTGACGCGATGTTGGGAGTGGTCACCTCCTGGGCGCCATCATAGGGCGCTGGCTGGGAGGACTTCCCAGTAACACAATTATTATAATACACAAACAATCTTAAACCTTTGTGATCAATTTCTTCCTCAACCTATCCCTTTTGCTGAATAGCTCTTGCTACTCGGTACCAGGCTTCTGCTGTACAAACCAAATCGTGGTCCGACAGCTTCCCCTTTCTTCACTATCAGTAACTTACGCCAGCTCTCTGGCTGCAATCTGCCGCACGGAGGTACGGTAATTCCACATACTTTAGCAATCTTCCTCACTTTCTTAACCATCTCTTCTCCTTCTCTGTCTTCCACTAGATCACATGCTAACCAACCCTTACTGGGTTTATCTAACTTCTGTCCCATCCTCCCTATATAAGGCGTCCCAGATATAGAGAAAGAGAGAAAAGAAGGTCTACAGTGCTTGACTGCTACGTAAGAGTGGGTTCCTACGTACGTCTTCCCAAAACGTAGACTAGTCACTAATTCCGCCTACCCGAGGTAGCCGCGGAATTGGAGCGTGGCGAGAAGTGTGTGACCAATCACTTCTCTCAACAAAGAGAAATAAGAGGAGAAAGTGTAAATAGTACAGTGAGTAAGATAAAAGTAAACACAGGAATCTGTGTGACAGACAATTAAGACAATAACATTTCAGTGTAAATACAGTGCATGCATCACAGTTCAAATAAGTTCAACAGTTTTATCCCTTGCCTTTACTCGTGTGGCCGAAGCCACCTCCCTCAACCTCGTAGTGTCCCCACTCGGAGAATGACTTCCACAAGTCTCACTACCAGCAGCCACAGGAAACAACAACAGCTTCCAACCCGAATCCTGTATAGCCTAAAGAATTGGAATCTTACCTGCCTCAGCGCTCGAGGCTGGAATTTTACCAAGAAGAAGTGTCCGATGAGGCTAGCTAAGCAGTCAAAGCGACACTATGGGGAACCCCCAGGAAGCAGTGAGTCTACACCACCCTCCACAGATTCCCCCTACTCTTTTTCCTTACAGCCACAGCTACGTGGCTCTTAAAAGAGTTAAACAGGCAATAGAGGACCCCCAGGAAAACTTCCACAGGTCCACCCCCCTTTTTCCTTACTACCACAGCCACGTGGTACCTAAAAGGAGTAAACAGGCACTCACACTCCCCGGGTACTAAGTTAAACACAAACCAATACAAACACACCCAGGCAACAGATAGTCAACATGCAGGTAAACTAGGTATCATTAACAATACAAGGAGTCTGGGCAAGTTATTACCTGACTTTGATGTCCTCTCGGCAGCAGTCACAGACACTGGGACAGGTCAATCACAGGGGCAGGAACATACCAGCTAGGTGCTGCAGCAATCTCTACCGTGTATTCAGAGGTGATCAGGCTCTTTTCCTTCCCCCAGGATTCATCCCCACAGCATCTTCTTGGACAGCTGCCCAGGGCATAACCCAGAGCTCCACGCTTAAGGGCGCCAAATTGTAATAGATTCTTTTCTGCAAACCAATTAGTTTGAATGACTATCTGTTCCTGTCCAAATTAAAGATAATAAAGTTGCGTGCACGCAGAAGTAAATTCACACTGAGACACAGAGTTCAGGTTAATGAAAGAACTTCGGAGAAGTTTAATGGCTTCTGTTTAAAAAGCAGGCCCGCAGGCCCTTTTAAAGGCATTATTACATCATTGAAGAAAATCAAGATATAGACAAATAGACATTGTTAATTGGCTTAGGTGCTAAGTAGTTAGTAAAATGCCCTCCCTACGGTGTGTACCATCTTAGGTCACTATCCTCGTCATGATTGTCTCCTCCAGGTTTTAGCGCCATTTTGTTAACATGAGGAGCTCACTCGACGGGAGGGGCCTTTTGGCAGCTATCCATTTAGAGTGTAGCCTGGCACTGTTAGCTTCTCAAGGTTAGGTTTCAAGGCTTTTAGTAAATACACATTTTATCAAAGCTATCATTGTAAGTGGGATGCTACAGTGTTTCACACTACAGGTGCATAATATTTCTTGCTGACATGCAAATTCTATATTCTATAGACAAAGCTTTCTTGTAAAACTATGGGGCCTCTTAGAGGTATAGCAAGAGGATTTAAAGGGGCCTTACAGATTTATAGAGGCCTAATAATTCTACAACAATATTGCGAAACATAGAGATGTGGCGTGAATGCAGAACCATTCAGCCCATCTTGTCACCCCAATTTTCTAAATACTTTCATTGGTCCTAGTCTTATCTTATAGTTAGGATAGCCTTATGCCTATCCACGCATGCTTAAACTCCTTTACCATGTTAACCTCTACCACTTCAGCTGGAAGGCTATTCCATGCATCCACTACCCTCTCAGTAAGTAATACTTCCTGATATTATTTTTAAACCTTTGTCCCTCTAATTTAAGACTATGTCCTCTTGTTGTGGTAGTTTTTCTTCTTTTAAATATAGTCTCCTCCTTTACTGTGTTGATTCCCTTTATATATTTAAATGTTTCTATCATATCCCCCCTGTCTCGTCTTTCCTCCAACCTTTCCTGGTAAGTTTTATCCCGCAATCCATGAACCAGTTTAGTAGCCTGTCATGTGCGTGGGCTATAGGCCCAGCCGAGACAGTGGGGAGAGTGTGGAAGTGACAGGGTTAAGGACACCAGACCCCTGGTTACCTGTTGCTAGTCCCAGCAACCACTCAATTAACCCCTGCAATCCCTTCTACACTAACCCCCTTAGTACTGCCACCACCAAGACTTTTAAACCCGGGCGTCTTAGGTTACCACACACACAGGAGAATTATAGTATCACAGTTCTACTTTTACTGATAAAACATATATAGTTAACCCTTTTTGGTAACGTGTTTACCTGAGCTTTCCTCTG